TAACCTTTAAGGGTTCATTCTTCAAAAACATATCACAACAATTTGAGGCATTCAGGGCAGCAGTCACAGATTCTGGAGATGTAAAATGCACAAAGGCATGAGGCTCGACTTTCTTATAGTCATCCGTTCTCCTAATCTTTTCAGTATCAGTGATATTAAATTCTGGATATGACTCTGGAGGGGTCCAAGAAGTCTTCAACCTACACCTGTAGACAAGTCCGATTTTATCCTCCAAATACTTCACGAGATCGCTTGCTTTGACCTCACTGTCAAATCCGCCAATGCTGATCTGAGTAACCACTGAATCCTTATCACTTGCTTCTAAGTCCATGTCTCAATAGTCTGCAAATTCTAAGCCATATCAATTTGCAAGTTAGATTAACCTTTTGAAATTGTCATATAAATCAATATTTGAGAACAAAAATTACAGCGTGGGAAAGGTAAGCCTACAATATTAGCCAAAAAATACTCATCCAATGAAAACCAGAGTGACGGGTTTAGGAGCATGAAGAGGTCACAATATTATCAGCTCTAGAAGAATTATAGATTAACTTTGGTTACAACTCAACAAATAAGTCATTATTAACAAATTTAGTGAGTATAAAAAGATCGAGAAACAGGGAGACCGATGCACATAGAGAAATGGATTTGAACTCTGAACATGGACTTTTATATTTAGTAAATTTTATGAGAGCATTCCCACAAACCATGATTCTTTTTTTCAAAAAAAATCTATCATTGAACACCTTCTTCACAGACAGTCACCACGTATCCTACCACACCCCTTCTACATTATTTCATGGCTCCAAAAATATATGCACTATGAAAACTAACCATGCGGAGCTAAGGCCACAATTTCAGTATAATAAAAGAAAAAGTAAACCACTACAAAAAACTAAACACGTTAGAACAAACTCATAACAAAACAGCAGAAACTAATCATTTGATTTCAAATAAGCTGACTCAAGAGTTTAAATGGATTTAACAATAAATTTTGACAAGAACGAGTTCCATACATATTCGAATACACACTGTTATCATACATTAATTTGTTAGTTTTAGTTTTCAATTAGTTGAAAATTGGTGAGTTAGTGGGATAGTTAGACTCTCTAATAAGTTTTATAAATTGAACTAATCCTCCCATTTTGTATCTTTTATCATACAGTTTCTTTGTTGGTACATTGAGCTGTGAGGTGTGATCATATCAAATGTGTGTAATAAGTGTCCCCGATCATAATACTCATACCCACAATTCAAAAAATAACCTGCAGACAAAAGAAACGAGCACAAGCCCAATAAATGCCAAAAGTACCCACTCACTAACGAAACTGAACTCAAGAAACCGCAGTGATAAAATCAAGGAGAGGCAGGATCTGACTCGCAATATCCTTTCGTTTAAAAAAAAATGATAAATTCAGATTGAAGTTATATGCATATTAGAAAAACGGGTATGGAAGGAGGAGGATAGGAAGTGATTTACCTGTCTGTGTCTGAAGGTATGAATTAGGATTGCTTTAGTGAAACTGCAGTTCGACGAGTCAAGTTCAGTCTAATTCTGTTGCGACGCCTTCTTCACGAAGTTTACATTATTGAGAGTTTGTCCTTTACTGTTTGTTTTTTCCATTCACGCGTTCCACTTTGGAATTGGTTTTGCCATTTTTATTTCCATTTGTTAGGGTTAAAAAAATTAGAAAGTTTAATTATAGTCTCAAATATCTCTTAAAGTAAATAATAAATGTTACAAAATGTTTTTTAAATATTTTTTTACGGTTATAATTTTGTAATTTAAATTTTAAAAATTTATCTATAATAATAATAATAATTATTATTATATATATATATATATATATGAATTTTTTTATGTCATGAAAAAAATTATAATTTAAAAAATAGTTATTATAATTTATATATTTTTTAAATTAATAAAATATAAAAAATTAAATATATTTAAAAATAAAAAATAACATTTTAAAAAAATAATTATAAAAAAATATATTGTTTTTAACTATTATATTTTCATGAATTTTTGTTTTCCTCTCTTTAGTGTTTTAAACAATTTTATTTAATCATTAAATGGTTTAAAAGGGTTAATTCAAATTTTTTATTTTATATTATTCTTAGTTATTTTAATTTCAGTAGTAAAATTTTAAAGCGACACAATTTAATTACACACTAGAAGAAACCTAGAAGGTACCACCTAATGATTGGGCAAGGGTTAACACACTCTGATGTTAATTATCATAATAAAGTTTCCAACCCAAAAAGTAAGGTTAAGGTTTCCACTTGAAACATAATCTAATGTCAATGAAGAAAATAAAATTTTTAAGTCAAACAATTTAAATGAGCACTTCAAACAAGAAACACATAAGATTAAGGTTTACCCTTGAAACTAAAATCCCACACGAGTAGAGAGGTTTTGAGCAAAAGTCAGAGATTGAAGTTATAAGAAAAACATAATCTAATGCCAATCAAGATAAACATATTTTAATATTAATTAAGATAATAAAGTTTTAAAGCTGCTCAATTTAATCCCATTAAAAATTAATAGAGTGAAATTAAGTAGGGGTGATTAGAGAATGTCACTAAAATTTGTCAATTCTTAACAAAAACTTTTATATGTTATACAAAAATTAATTGAATCTTAAAAAAATACTATTTTAATTGCATTTCACAGAAATATTTATTTTATTTAAAAATTTGATAATACAAGAGCTGATGTGGTATCTTTGTGTCAACTAGCATGTATATTAGCAATGACAATTTAAAATCAAGAAAAAAAAAATACCATGATCGAATTGATACATCATAATAGGTATTTGTTTATAACATTTTTACTGATTACACTGCATACATGCTCTATGATACAAAGTCTAGGCTACATTTCCTACTACTAATAAATTTTTAAGAGGGTAACCTATGAATGATAAACACCTATTACATAATCTATGTACTGCATGTTGTTATAGATTTTCATATTAGCATGTCATTTGCTTTCTAATAGTATAATAAAGTTAGTAATTGTTGTCATAAAGGGTAAGTAGATCTTGGTTATTTCTTTAGTCAATGATGTCAGGAAGTAAAAGAGCAAAAGCTGCTCTACACTAATTTATAGTGTAGATAAAGTTAAAGTATGATGATTATTGAAATTTTAGCCTAAATATACGAATTTTAGCCTAAGTATTTGGTCAATAAAAGACATTTTATAAATTAATTTCTTTTTTAAAAGTAAATAAAATCAATTAAACTGAATACAAGAGATACTCATAATCCAAAAACAGAGTATATTACAAAGCAGATAAAAGTCAATAAAAAACTTAAAATACATAAAAAAACACTTAAACAAAATAGATCCAAAAATTATTATACCAATTTACAATACTAAAAGACATTCTCATGTAAGTTATAAATTAATTTTTAGTTATTAGATTTGTGGTACAATGATTATATTTGTATATAAAAAAATTCTAATTATTCAATCAATAGGTTTACCATATTAAACAGAAAAAACAAGCATTAAAATTGTTACATTAAAAAAATATTAAAAAATTGTTTTAATGTTATTATTGGAGTAATTTAATACTTTATCAAATAATCATACTAATATTTTTAATATATCTTTTATAATTATTATTTTATTGTTTTATTTCTTATCTAAGTATTACTATAGTTACGTTTACTATTTTATTAGTGTATTTTTACAGAATTATGTATTAATATTAAGAAAAATAATATTATTACTATTGAGATGATTGAGGTCTGTGTTGATGTACATCTAATATATTTATAATTATATATTGATATTAATAAAATTTAATAATGAAATATAATTATTGTAGTATGATTGATGTTAAATATCTGATTTACATAATTAAATTATTAAAAATATATTTATAATTATATATTGATATTAATAAAATTTAATAATGAAATATAATTATTGTGGTATAATTGATGTTAAATATCTGATTTACATAATTTAATAATTATTTATATCAATTCTTTCAAAATTATTGTAGCGAATATAATCTACTATTCATATTTGTCAATTTTATATAATTCATATTTATAAGTACTAATTTTTATAAATTCACAATAAGATATTACTTAGATAATTTATTAATAATCTTATTAATAATAAATATTTAACTTTATTTTACAAATATCATGTATACAATATAAGTTACTATTATAGCATGACTATACTTGCCACACCTTATTAATTTTAATAATAAAAAATCATATTTTACTAATTTTGCATACCTCAGGTTAGGGATCAGATTGGTTAAAGGAGAGTGCCCTTTAGTCGTAACCAGGCTGGAGTGGACACCCCACTTGCATTTTAATTGCAAGAATAGACCACTCATCATATCCCGTTAACTGCCTGAAGGATCATGGATAAGGATAATAAAACATTTTGTTTTTATAGTAGATAATTTTATTCTCTTTCTAACACTCTTCAATGTGGGACTTTACTTCATAAACACCTGCTGCTCCATGCCTTATTGAATAGAAACTAGATTCAACTAATGGGTGCAAAATTAAGTCATTAGCATCAGACATAATTGTTTAACGGATTAGCCTAGAACTATTGGATATGATCCATCAATTACAAAACTACAGCATTCTGGTCTATTGACTACCGTGCACTTTAGGACTTGGCCACCAACTGAATATTGATCAATCTTAAGCATCGTGTAGTAGTAAGATGGCCCAAGAGAATATTATAACAACGCAACTAAAGGAACATGTTCCAGACTTGAGGTTGGAACTTGAACAATGTATTTCAGGTCAGAGAAGAGAACATAATAGAATTATACAATTATCACTCACACAGCTGCGAAACCTATATCATATTGAGTGTGGAACATTAACGATTTTCCTACTTCAGTATTAATATTCTAATCCCAGAACCCGAAAAATAGCATTTGTTTTCCTTTATTTACTTTTAGTCTAATCCACTCAACTCCACTAACATCCTTGGGCATAACCGACTCAATTGATCAATCATTAGCAGTGTTGCTGCCATGAAGTTCTAGAAGATCCTCAAGAGGCAGATCGAGTAGACCCTGCCAGAGTGGCGTGACCTGCTCTTGTCCTACAAAGACTTGAAGAAACAATTAAAGGTTATGTGTCTCAAAGATCCTCTCACTCCACCCCGTTTGGATGCTGATGAGCTAAACCATTTTCGCCTCTTGGATCTCAAGATTAATAAGTTTAACGCTTTTATTGTTGACAAGGAAAAAGAACAATACATCATCAAATGGAGGGTAACAAAACAAATCTCACAATATCCTCCACTTACTTTTTTTCTGATTTTATGAATTTAGGAGCAGTGATTTGTGTTTGTGTTGTAGGAATTGCAAGACAGAGTTGCCAAAGCTATGGATTCAAACGCGGAGATAATTTTGTTAGAGAACTACACCGCACTCACTAAACAGGCATGTTCTAAGAGCTCATGCATGAATGGTGAATGCAATTGAGGACTAGTGTGTTTCCTTGAGGAGTGGTAAATCATACTCTTTGGCACTGTTTAAAGGATGGATAACAGCACACTCAAAATGACTAGTTAAATAAGTAGAATCTACAAAATTGTTATTTTGAATAAATTTTCAGTGAACAATAGAGATTAAAAAAGTGTGTTAAAAAATCATGTCAGATACTGAGCGTTCATTTCACTTATGATTGGCCCCTTGTAAAGGAATGCAAGCTTGAGGATGATGAGTGTTGTGGCGGTGTGACTGGAAATGAAAACAAAGAGACGCTGGTGATGTTCCTAAATAACTTGCTGAAGTTGATAACATTGGGAACCTTTCACTAAACTAACTTTATCAGCACTGCATAGCTTGGAAGAAATTAGGCATAGAAGCTCAAGTAAATATCCTTCACATTGCCTCTTATGCAGGACTAGGTTTTGTGCAATGGAAGAGAATTGAAAAGCAAAATAACTGCACTAACGAATGCAACCAAATAGGTTCTCAGAATAACATGTATTTGTCGTGTTTATCTTCAAATCTTGTATATTTGATGACCATTGTAAAGAACTAGACCCAAAATTGAAACATGACTTGTCATGTATACAAGAGGATCCATTCCCGTCTCATTTGTAATTTCTACCAAGAAATAAGTGAAGGATGGAAAGGAAATTAATGCCTAATGCTCTCTATTACCCAGAGTATATGCCTATTTCTTATTGTTCAGTTTCTTAGTTGCCCTTATTGCCCAATTGCTTGAAATATCAAGTCCCACATTCGCTGAAAACGGGTAAATTAAATTATATAGTTTGAAAGAGTCCTGAATCTAGCGGTAGAACTAGGTTGCTAATTGTTTTTGTTTAAATGAAGTGTCAAATTCATTCATAGGAATTTCCGAGAATTGTGACAGCTACCACAGTCTAGAGGGGGGACAAATATGATACTGCAATCTATGTTCATTTGTTTTCAAACAATCACTAAAGTCTACAAGTGAACTGATAATTACCAAATATAAAATCTACAGAGTGAACGTCTTTAAGACCATGCATGATATACATGTGTATGTGCACAGACATATAAGTATTAGCTGCAACGCAAGGACTTTGTTCCTACTGATCATAAGTGCTCAAGAAACCACCAACAAAGCCTGCTCCATTGCAATTCCCACATAGCATCTCCTTCCTTCCTCTACAAAGAAAAAAAAAGATGTAAGATAAGTCATGGAATCCAATATGGAAAACAAAAATGTTGTTTATACTCCATTGCCAAAATTCACTGCTTTATTTTTTGGGTCAGAAAAGTTTATGGAAGGGTTACGTTGCATTAAGAATTCAACAACAAACAAAAGTCTTATTATCCTAATAGATACAGTTCTAGAAGTGTAATTTTAGAATGCAACTATGATAGAGAGTAGGTTTTTCTGTAACAGATAGAGCACAAACAAAATCATATGAATGGAATGGTTTATTTAAGTACCCGCAAAGCCAACACGAGTCACCAGCTTTAAACTGTCCATTGAAAAAATCAACGGAGTTCACCCCACTGCCTTTACACTGAGAGCATAGAACAGCTCCTGTTAATCACACAACAAAACCAAAAGTTTCAAATTGTAGATATTCTCTTGTTTGTTTTTTGTCCTTTTCAACTTACTATTTCAAACCCTTTATACATCTTTTGGTTAGATTAGTTCATGTATGGCTACTGTTGCAAAAAAAAAAAGCAAAAAAAGAAGTAACAAGAAAAATATTTTGCATGTACTAGCCACCTAAAGACAGAAGCCATCTTACCATTTCCATCACAGTCAGCACAAATCACACTATTAGGTTTCGTGTTCCGGTTTCCTTTTGCAGCCTATGTGAATAGAAACTGACATTAGCTAATACATACAGAACTAACTACGTAGAATCATTGGATTTGAATGCTCAAGGAAGACACATTTTAAGCTAAAGCTATTCGAATAGAAAAATGTACCTCAGCAATGACAAGGCGATATTTGGTAGTAAGAGAGCCTTGAAACACATAAGCAACTCTAGTATGCTTTGAATTTGTATGACTTTCTATACTAACACCTAAGGATTCTAAAGTTTGAATACATAAATAGGTTAGTTAGAATTAAAGCACGAATATATTGAGACTACACAATATACAAATTAACTCAGGCACAAGGGTGAACCTGGTGCTGGAGTAGTTCTGGGGGAACTTAGGCACAGGGCAGGGACCATTGGAAGATTTAGAGTATAACTAGACTGTGTAATTGGCTGCGTAATGAACAACAACTGAAGTGATGAAGATTAGATAATTTGATGCTGTTGGAGACAAATCGAGGGACAAAATAATGGATTGAGATATTAGTCAGATATTTTTTTTTTCTATGGTAAGAATGGAGCTCAATTATGTCATGTCCCAACTCATTTTATTATCTGGCATCATTCGGTCCTGTAGGACCCGCTTTGAAGAAGATGTGGTATCAAGTTTTACCCACAGTAGTTTTAGTTGTAATTGGTTTATGATAAATTAATAAATAAGAATTATATATATATATATAATTTAAAAAATATTAGGAAAAAACTATCATTTAATATTTTTAAAATGATAGATTGTTTTAAACTAAATTAAGATAGATTGTTTTAAACTAAATTAATTTGAAATTGAAAAGTAGGAAAAAGCTAATTTTTAAAACTAAATCTAATCCTAAGCATTTTAAACGATTACAAACCCACAAGATTTAAGAGGAGAAGTGATGTGAGTAGTTTATTTTGGGTTAATGGATTAACTCAACACCATGAGTTCAGCCGATAAGTTGTAAAAAATATAAATAGAAATTTTAATATAACAAACAAATTTCATTTTTTTTCTATAATCCAACATGACCAAAACCATTGTGGACCGAGTTGGTCCACACTTTGTTTTTTTTTTATTACGGTTCTAATAATAATTTCCTTCTACCTGTACATAAAAAACTTGAACCCACACAGTCATCCATTTCAAAACTACTCATGGGTATTCATGAACATTCTCTAAAAATTAAAAAACGGTTTAACAAATTTATTTTCGTAATTAATTTAGACGTTCATAAATATATGTTATTTTTATTCAATGTTTAGAAAAAAAGTTCAAATTATCTAAATTAGACGTTTTTTAAGGTATAAGTTTAAATAAAACTACATCCAATGCATGATATATCTTAGGCTTTATATACACTACGTTCTTTGAGAACAATTTTTTCTTTTTTTATTACTAATGCTACCCTGCACCCGTCCCATCTTTCTTTATATACTAATTATTGTATTTACTTATTTATTTGAATATGTCGTTTTCATCATTATTTTTAAATTTAAACTCAACATTTAAAAATAATAATAATAATAATTAAATTTAAAATATAATTAATATATTAACAAAATATTATAAAAATAACTATGATATAGTATATATATTCAATATTAAAAAATACGGGCTGATACAATAAATAAGGCGGTGACGGCTTTCTATAAAGTGGCTCGTGTCGAGCCCTTTAACCCTATTTTCACTCGCACATCCACTCACTGTGACTCGCTCATCCCGTGGAGGTTTCGCTCTCTCAGTTTCTTTTCCCCGAGTTGTTTTTCGTCTAACAATTTACTTTGCAGACTCTCTCTCAATCTCAACCCTATCTCTAACCCTAACACCATACCTCCTAATCTTTCTGTCGTTCCTTCATCTCGCAGGTATTTTCATCTTTCTAAACCCTACATATATCACTCTAGGGCAAAACCCTAGCTCAATTTATCGACTCGATTTTCATAATATTTCTTTTCAAGCTCTGATTTAATTGACTCCGTGATTCGCAGATAATGGGAGAAACCAAGGACGAAGCATACGAAGAAGAGCTTATTGACTATGAGGAGGAGGAAGACAAGGCTCCGGACTCCGTCGGAGCCAAAGTCAATGGCGAAGCTACCAAGAAGTAAGTGCACGATTGGTTAGATTTTTATTTGTTTTATAGGCTATGTTTAACAATTCAAAATTTGGTATTAACAAAACATATATATAACTCGTTTCTTTCTTTTTTTTTTTTTCTTTTGCAGGGGCTATGTTGGAATTCACAGTTCAGGATTTAGAGACTTTCTTCTGAAGCCAGAGCTTCTTCGTGCTATTGTGGATTCAGGATTTGAGCATCCTTCTGAAGGCAAATATCAAACTATCTTTTTCACTTCTTATTTTGGGTTGTGGCTGACTGCAGTTACAGTGGTTGGGTTGTGGCTTTGGCTGCAGTTATCAGAGCTGTCGTTTCGAACCGTTTCGTTTGTTTGTTTGTTTGACGCGCTTTGATTTTCTCCTTACCGTCCTTTTCAAATTCTGGGGTTTCAACTTTCAATAGTTAAAAAATACACGTTGTCTACTATATCATCCTTATGTGAATTTTTTTTTTCAGGTAATACTTGTATCACAAATCTTGTTTTGGAGAACTAACTTGCTTTGGTAACGCTATCAAATGAAATTAAAAGCGTCAGAAAAGGTTTATTTTACTTACACTCGGTTCCTTCGGCCCTGTTTTATTTGCTTCATCATCAGTGCAACATGAGTGCATCCCTCAAGCAATTCTAGGAATGGATGTAATTTGCCAAGCGAAATCTGGAATGGGAAAGACTGCTGTCTTTGTTCTCTCAACTCTGCAGCAGATTGATCCCGTTCCTGGCCAAGTTTCTGCACTTGTTCTGTGTCATACAAGAGAATTAGCATACCAGGTACTCACGGGGGACTTGATACATCAAAATTATGGAAAATGGGAATCTAGTTGATTCTGATTTAAGATTTGCAACCTATTCCATGCAGATATGCCATGAATTTGAGAGGTTCAGTACCTATTTACCCGATCTAAAAGTTGCTGTCTTTTATGGTGGGGTCAACATCAAAGTTCACAAGGATCTGCTGAAAAACGAGTGCCCTCATATTGTTGTCGGAACACCTGGAAGAATACTAGCATTGACTAGGGATAAGGATCTTTCTTTAAAGAATGTGAGACATTTCATATTAGATGAGTGTGACAAGATGCTGGAATCTCTGGGTATGTTTCATTGCGGAATGGCCATTCTACTGTGCTGAATTTTACTTTTATTTTCGTATGTTTTTATTGTTCCTACTATTCTTTCTGCAGATATGAGGAAAGATGTTCAAGACATTTTCAAGATGACTCCCCATGATAAGCAAGTTATGATGTTTTCCGCAACACTCAGCAAGGAAATTCGCCCAGTCTGCAAGAAATTTATGCAAGATGTAATGTCTCATGGCCAGTACTACTTGAATTAGAAGTCTCTTTTACATACTGCTCACAATCCCTGAGAGTTTTCAAGATAGTTAGAATGCTGTAGTTTAATCGTTTTCCTTCGCACAGGGTTTTTTTTTTTTTTTTTGTATAGTGTCTTTTATTCATACTATTTTTACTGAAACACCCAGCTGGTTGTAGTTTAGTGGGCCGGTGATATGAGATTGGGTTAGAAAGAAGTTTAGGATGGGATGTTTTAGGAGTGAGTGTCAAGTGTCCGTGGCACTTGCTTGGCGTTACTAAAATAAAGTTTCTGCAAGGAGACAAAACAGATCGACAAGAACTATCATTCAAGGGATCTGCATCCATCATTAATTTCGTTGTGGATTCCATTAGCTTGAGGAAGGACCCTAATATGATTTACTGTTAAATTTGTTCCTTTCAGCCTATGGAAATTTATGTTGATGATGAGGCCAAGTTGACACTTCATGGACTTGTGCAGGTAAACTTTTGCAATTCTGGAATTATTATTTCCCTCTTTTAAGTTAATGTGTCATTTGTATAGCTCACATTCATGACTGAAATGGGCAGCACTACATCAAATTGAAAGAGGAGGAGAAAAACCGGAAGTTGAATGATCTTCTTGATGCACTGGACTTTAATCAAGTTGTTATCTTTGTGAAAAGTGTTAGTAGAGCAGCCGAGCTGGACAAACTACTTGTGGAGTGCAACTTTCCTTCTATATGCATCCACTCTGGCATGTCCCAAGAAGAAAGGTTTGTTTTATGGATGTCAATGGATGCTGAAGAACTTTGTTTCCAATCATTATTTTGGTTAATGACTCAAATAATTTTTTATTGGTTTGTTTTGTTTTATTTTGTTGTTTGATTTAAGCTTTGAATCACATTGTTAGTTTTATTTGATAAATTATGGTGTATTTTTCATTGAAGATGTGGTGTGGATTTCACAATTTGGGTAATGTTGAATAGAAGTTAATAATGAAGGGCATCACTCTTCATTTAAGAGGTTAACATATGTGCAATATGTAATTAACTGTTTTGCACATCTATAAACTTCCAAGAATAAGTATATTATGAAATTGACTTTTTTTCCATGCGTAAATTAAACTTCTGAAGTTGCCTAAATTACATTCCTCACCCTCTTATTTTGAATTGTGTATCCTTCTTCCTTGTGAGATGAATGAGTAACAAATTTTTTTCTTCAACGATACAAACCTCTTAACAGTCGTACATCATGATGGAAGCCCTTCCCAATACTCTGCCCTTTGTAGCTACTACCAACTAAGTATATTATGAAATTGACTTTTTGCGCTGCGTAAATTAAAATTCTGAAGTTGCCTAAATTACATTCCTCACCCTCTTATTTTGGATTGTTTACCCATCTTCCTTGTGAGATGGATGAGTTACAATTTTTTTTCTTCAATAATACAAACCTCTTAACCGTCTTACATCATGATGGAAGCCCCTCCCAATGATATAGTCTTCCTCTGCACTTTGTAGTTACTAACAACTAATTTTGAATTGTATTATTAATTTTAGTAATTTAGAGGGTAAAATGAAGTTCAAAATTCCTTTCGTTGGCATTGAAATTTCATGTAAAATCTTAGTTTATTATGAGGTCACAGTATTAGAAGTTGATGTTCAAAACAATCTATTAATCCCGTTGAGGAACAAAATTAAGAGGGAAAATGTGTGTATAAGTTAAGCCTCTCGAGAGAATGGAATGTACTTTACTGTTTTAGAAAGGTTGAAATATAATTTTGTATTACAACTAATGCCGTTGGGATTCTCATTCTACATCTTAGTGTTTAGAATTATACTAGAATGAGCTAGAAGAAACCAGGGTGGAAATCTTTCGGAGGGTTAGTATGTGCAAAGCTCAGTTACATGAATAGCACAGCTTATTCTTTGTGTTCTGTAACCATTTTAGAGTCATTGTGCCTATTTCTATTGTGTAGAACACTTTTGGCATCGGAATGTGTATGGATTAGTGTACTTTGAGTGATTTAGAGAGTAAGATTCCCTGTTAAGATCTACACCTGTGTATGTGTATTCTTTATTGAGAGCAAACTTTCTGAGGATTTGTCAGGGTCCTCTGTGCCTGATATCTCTGTTGTAACATTTTTTACTGGTTTAATCCAGAAATTATTTAAATAAATTGACTATTTATGTATAATGCACTGATGTGACTGTGAATTGACGACATTTAGATGTGATCTCTGGATATGTTTTTAATAGGTTGAAGCGTTATAAAGGTTTCAAAGAGGGGCACACAAGGATTCTTGTTGCTACAGATTTGGTTGGAAGAGGGATTGACATTGAACGTGTCAACATTGTTATAAACTATGACATGCCTGATTCTGCAGACACATATTTGCACAGGGTATGATTGAGGAAAATCTGTTTTTAATTTCCCCTCAGTTATCTTTTTGATGGCACTAAAATCTAGTATGGGGTGTTGACTCGTTGTTATTGGAGTGGTTTTGCACAGGTTGGACGGGCTGGAAGATTTGGCACGAAAGGCCTTGCAATCACATTTGTTTCTTGTTCTACTGATGTCGATGTTCTCAACAATGTAGGGAGCTTCTTTAGTCAACATTTATTGGATGTTATATACCCCTTTGCATTTCTAATTTGTGCTTGGTGTGAATTCCAGGTCCAGTCAAGGTTTGAGGTGGATATAAAACAGCTGCCTGAGCAGATTGATACCTCAACCTACAGTATGTGTTTTTTTATCCGTTGATTTTGGTTCATATAATGGTTCGCTGAGATGATTGAATTTTAAGAATTATAATCCAGGATTATATTGTTTACTCCAATTCGTCCAAAATTGAAACTAAACTAGAACTATAAGTTTTGTTTGTATTGTGTGTTTAGGGCATCTATTTAGAATTTTAAATTTCAAGTTCAATACAAATTATTCTAGATGCATTATTAAAATTAATTCTAGTTCATATTTAATTGCCAAAGAAATTTAAAATGATTTTAGTGAATGTTCAATTTGTTATAATATAGATGGATCTATTCATATTAGTTGAGCACATATCAGTTCTCGAGGTTGAATTGGCAGTTCTTTTGCGTTGTTACTTGCATATAAGCTTTACTATAGTTTTTTTCTAATTTTATTAAATTTTGTGAAATGTCGATTCTTATTTGGATGGCTTCGAAAAATGGTGAGGTTGTTATTTGAGTTTCATGCTTCACCTTGCATGATTGAGAGCCAATGGTATCCTAGGATATAGGCGTATTCTGGTCAGCAAGTTATTCATGGGTGTTTTGTGGAGTTACTACACAGACTCGTGTTTTTCTTGTTATTATTTTTAATTCAAATGGATTGTGTAAATTTTCATATAGAAGATTCTTACTCAATATCTAAAATGTTTCAATTGTTTTTCCTCAATTTCATTTAGAATTTCTGAAGCATAAAATTTTTATATATGTTTGCAATGTATTAATTGATTTTCCTTCCAATAATTTATTTCTCAATTGCATTTCCTGTCGTTACGAAGACATTTATTTTGTAGTCTATAAAATACAAACATGAATCGTCTCAACTGAAATTTTACTATTCTGCCGTTGTATTTGTTTTCTGTGAAATTATTTATCAACATTTGATTGTACAGTTATTTTACAGTTTGTCCCTGTTGGGTTTTATGTTGCATTTACATAATTTTGTGCCTCTATTATCAAATTTGTTCTGGCCTGATCTCCTTTACATTACTTGCAGTGCCATCGTAGTAGAATCTTTTTTTGGGGGCAACGTTAACTTGCTTTGGTCATGAGTAATAGTGACGCAGAATATTTGGAAAGGTGCAGCTGATGATTAACCGGGCTGATAGATAGCAGAGTCTGATTACAGACTAGGCCATTTTATCATTGGAGATTTGCCGCTACTAGATGTAGCACTATAATGGCTTTTGTATTTATTGGGTTTCACTTACTGTAGTTTGTGTGGCAGCTACGTGTTTTCGTGATCGTCTTGTTTTGAGTTAGTGTTCCTTGCGGACGTTGATAATCGATACTGTTGTTGAATTAGATAATGGTCTCTTATTTATTAGTTTGATCTTTAAACAGATGAGCGTATAAGGTATATTATTTCCACATAAAAAAAAAGATGGAGTCCTGATATGAATTTGCCAATTCTTTATGCATAGGTTCTAAATATGTGCTCAACTAATTTGTTTTTTTGCATGTCACATTATATAGATAGTTGAACAACAATAAGTAGAGTATATTTTTGGTATATCTTTATTCTTTAAGGATGTATATGGTAGTTTAGTTAAAATTTAAAGTTAAATAAATTATGAAAATTATAATTTGGATGTTGAAAGAGTAATTAATTAAATTAATTGATAACATTATGTATTAAGTTATTTGATCAGTTGGTATAAAAGGAATATATTCAGTCACGTAAACTTAATTTAAGTTTGGAAATATTTTCTGAATAAAAAATTATTTGAAGCATTTTTCTATTCATCTTAAAATTTAGAATAGTAAAACTATTTTATTTTGTAGTTTTGTTTTTCTTAAATAAATTGAGATAATGTAAATGAATTATTTTAATCTCTTGAATTTGTGTTAAATTCAATGTCAGTGAAAGAGAATAATATATATATATATATATATATATATATATATATATATATATATTTATTTGCAGATTAGAAGCACTTTTGGCATACTATTTCTTTTATGGACTTTTGTGTATGGTTAATAATGACAAATAAAAAAAATCAAAAATAAAGAAGACACCTAAATAAAGTTCTACAATTTCGAAGCTATAACAGTGAAGAAATTTACTACCGAACAAAATATAAAGAAAGTGTTTGTTTATATGTAATAAATAATAGTTAATTAACGTCTTCCAACTGGCACTTCTCTGAATAAAGCGGCTGCGTCCTGGTTAAGGCAATTATAGAGCCTTAACGGAATTGACCAAATTCATGATTTGATCTGACATGACACCTAGATATCACTTCAGATTTGGATAGTCTTCTAACATTCACATAGAGAGTGTAAAAATAATTTTTAGTACAAATTATCAAATATTTGTTTCAATCAAAACTTTAAGTTCATTCCTGCCTGTTACTCAGTTCCCCACTCCACTCCTACTGAGTTTTTTCATAAGCCTAGTCTTCAATATAAGGACTATTTTTAAATTATGATAATAAAATACTCAGTAAAAACTCGATCATTGATCATGATTAAATAAATAAGCAAATATACTTTTATTTATATTATTCAATTATTAAAAATTAAATTTTAAAAAATATTTATTCCATGTTAGTAACCATTCAAATGAATATGTCTTTATTAAAAAAAATTATGTAAATATGAAAGGATAATTTATTTTATTGTTTTTTATCTCACTCCAATGCTATTATATTTTTTTACTACGATAGAAGAATTTAGTTGTATTTGTAAGGTGGAGGTTCTGTACATTAAGACAAATCCCATAATAAGAATATTTTTACGAATCTAAAAAAAGAAAATATACATATATATATTACTTTTAAATGTAAGATGTTCCGTGCAAAAATAAAAGAGGAAAATAAATAAAAAAAGTTGATGTAATTTAGTCAAAATAATTTGCATGAGTCCTACCTCCTTTGTTATTATTTCTTTAATTAGTTCAGGTTCTTAGTTGAATACTTATCACACTGATACAATTATCTTAATCCTTGAAAAGACATTTTTTGCATCTCTTGTACATATTCTTAATTGCATTGTATATACAAAACTTTGTCGCTAAGAACCATGAAATTAAATAATTCTTTTTCCTCATTATTTTGCATTGAAGACCATTTTTCTAATTCTGAGTCTGATAACAGCTTTCTCAAACTCTCTGAGTGCCATGCTGTCCTTTTCTCCATTCGTCTCCCATTACATCCCCCATTGAATTTTTTTACTTATTTCTGTTTCTCTTGACATTATATACGTCTTATTTTCCTTAAAATTAATATGTTCCAACAAAGTTTTTTTTTTTTTTTGCATGTTATCACTAGTGCAGAATAAGGTTTTTACGTCACCCAATTGTCGTCGCATGCATGTATATTCGACGTAAATAAAACGCGGTGGCAATTTTGTAAATATGGGACAAAAATTTTACGTCGCACATCCCAGTATGTGACGTAAAAAGCCTTTTTTACGTCGCACCTGGGAGGCGCGACGTAAAAGATGGACTTTTACGTCGCGTACTGGGGGGCGCGACGTAAAAAGCCTTAGCCTTTTACGTCGCGTCCCCCAGTACGCGACGTAAAAGGCCATCTTTTACGTCGCGCCCTCCAAGTGCGACGTAAAAGATGGCTTTTTACGTCGCGTGCTGGGATGCGCGACGTAAAAAGTCTATTTTATTTACCTCCAGACCCACTTCCTCGTCTCGCGCAACTAGGGTTTTTGAGAACGACGACGAGAACGACGTATTCAGCTACCTCTGCACACCATTTTCGAGCAGTTTTACAGTGAAAAGCATCTACATTATCGTGTCATTTGACGAACTTGATTTTTCTCCTCGATTGGAATCGAGTTTGAAATCAGTTTTCGTCTACACTCGAGGTTAGTGTTCTATGTCATTGCTATATGTTTACATTGAATCCGTGATTGTTTTTGGGATCTCAATCACGTTATAGTATGAATGTCTCTACTGCATTGTTATTGGAATGTAATTATTTGTTTATTTGTTTGAGTGCATTCGGTTTACACACTCCATTGTTGTTGGAACGTGCTTTGTTGTTTGAGTGCATCAGTACCACGCAATGGTGAACAAGTATATGAGCAAGTGAAAAATATTAATATTGTGTTTGGAAAGACCCAAAAGAAATCCACTGAGAAAAACATTTGGAATAAACAATCTATATTCTTCAATCTTCCTTATTGGTGTAAGTTGGAAGTTAGACACTGTATAGATGTGATGCATGTTGAAAAAAATGTTTGTGATAGTATAATTGGGACATTGCTTATCATAAAAGGAAAGACAAAAGATGGAATAAAAGCAAGACAAGATTTGGCAGACATGGGTATACGTTCTGAATTACATCCACAATCAGTTAGAAAACGCACTTACTTACCTCCAGCTTGTCATACTCTATCAAAGAAAGAAAAGAGAAGCTTTTGTGAGTGTTTACGTGAGGTCAAAGTGCCACAAGGATACTCCTCAAATGTTAAGAGTCTTGTGTCTATGCAAGAATTGAAATTAGTTGGTTTAAAGTCTCATTATTGTCATGTGTTGATGCAACAACTTTTACCAAGTGGCTATTCGAAACATCTTACCAACTTCGTTAGAATTGCTATTACTTCGGTTATGTTTGTTTTTCAACGCCATTTGTAAAAAGGTAATTGATCCAAAAAAGTTAGATGAATTAGAAAATGAAGCAATTGTGATAGTGTGCCAGCTTAGAAATGTATTTTCCCCCTTCATTTTTTGATATCATGGTGCATTTGATAGTCCATTTGGTAAGGAAAATTCGGTTATGTGGTCCAATTTTTCTTAGATGGATGTATCCTGTTGAGAGATACATGAAGATCTTAAAAGGATATGTGAAGAATCGGTACAGGCAGAAGTTTCTATTGTGGAAAGGTACATTGCAGAAGAAGCCATTGAGTTTTGTCAAGGATACATGTCAAAATCAGAACCAATAGGTATTCCTAAGATGAGACATGATGGAAGATGTGAAGGTAAGGGTACTCGAAATTTGAAGATTAAAAATGTTAGTCGGAAAGAAGTTGACCAAGCACATTTATACATATTGAACAACACCGATGAAGTAATCCCTTACATATCACAACACATAACCGAAATAAAGGCAACACATCCACGAATGAATGAAAAATGGGTATTGAATGAACATAACAAAAGTTTCCTTTCTTGGTTTAAAAAAAGGGTATATGTTGAGATTAATGCTTCGAAACACTTCGAGACTTGCTCGTGGGCCTAATAGTGATGTCATTACATTTGGTGGGTATGACATTAATAACTATTGTTTCTACTCAAAAATAGAAGATGATAAAGGTAGAGTACAAAATAGTGGAGTCACAATTCAAGCTGAATCTATGCATTTTTCTAGTTCTAAAGACAAAAATCCTATCACAGACTTCTATGAGTTATTTTGGGGTCATACAAGAGATATGGGAAATTGATTATGTTACTTTTAGGGTGCCTGTCTTCAAGTGTAAATGGGTTGAAGGGAATACGGGTGTGCGAACAGATGACCTAGGATTTACTTTGGTTGATTTGAGTAAAGTTGGGTATAAGGATGAACCTTTTATTTTGGCATATCAAGCGAGACAAATATTTTATGTCAAGGATCCATGTAATGAGAGATGGTCAATTGTCCTAGAAGGAAGAAACATGCACGGAATTCATGAAGATGAGTCTCTAGATATACATGAAACACCTTCATTTTCAAGTAGACCATTTGATGACATAGTTGACAATGAAGTTGATGACATACATGCAATTCGAAGTGATTATGATGAAGGGATATGGGAAAACATACCAACATAATAGGTGTTTATCTTAACATTTTCTAGTTCTTTTTATTCAAACTTATAAAGTATGTTGACTTCATATTGTTTTGTTTTTCGGGATATGTCGGATTCCACAGTTGGTACTCGGTAGTGGTAGTGGCGAGTGGCGGGAGCGGAAGTGGTGATAAAGGTAGATCTGTCACTCGGTTAAAGGGGTTGACGAGCAAGGAGGGTAGCTAGAGAGAAAACTCAAGTTGAAGTTGATCCACGTTCCGGTAAGGCATCCGGCCCAAATGCTTGCTAAGTTTAAGAACTATTTGGGACTACTAGCTCGACACCATGTTCCGATTACTACTCCATCTTGGGATGATGTTGAGGAAACCGAGAAGAACCTCATGTGGCAGGATGTTCGGGTATTTCTATATTTGTTGAATACTTTATATATCATTATTAATTGAATTTAACATTTATTGGTCATTTCACAGACAAAATTTTGATGTTCCTAACACCGAGGTGATGAGGAAGAAGATTTTATCCTCCATTGCCATTAGATGGAGGGACTTTAAGACTTTCTTGACACGGGAGTATGTATTTGGAAAGTTTCGAGATGAATCTCCTTGTGTAAAGTATCAAATTAGTGAGGAGGATTGATTACAATTTTGTGCCAGCCGAATGGACCCCTCTTGGCGGGATAAAAGACAAGCCGCCCAACAACGTCGGAGGTTGAATGATGCACCCCATGTATTGTCACGAGGAGGGTATGCATTATTGGAGCAACGTCTCATGAAATCCAGAGAAGAGTCGGCAGGAGTTGATTCTATCGACCTTGCATCTCCACCCCTCGCTATCGGATGTGGAAGGCAGCCGGACAAAATCCGATGGACAAATGACTTCCGAGTATGCACGAATCATTGCTCGGAAAATCGTAAGTTATAATGTCAATTTGAATTGATTCTAATTTGAAAGTTAGTGTATGACTTAATTATTGTTAATGTGTTGTAGGATGATTTAGTTGAGCGGACCAGCCAAGGATCATTTATTCCTCATGGTCGACAAGATATATTGGCGACGACCATAGGAAAACCAGATTACTCGGGACGTGTGCGTGGTGTCTGGTGGAACACGGGGCCTTCGTGATTACTTTGGTCCAACATCACGAAGGACCACTGCTCGACTCTTGCAGCCAGGAGGCCTTGCAT